CTCTTCCTATAGCGTCTCATGGTCTTTTGCACATTAGGTAAGTATACTTAATCTCTTCTTTGTATTCGTCCTATATTCTTACTTACATTATTCCATTCCTCTTGCTCCTTTCATTATCTAAGCTTATCTTGCATATGTAATACCATTTATTGTCTGCTCTGTAGTTTGTACTTGGAAGTGTTTTGTCTGATAGGATTGCATTCACTCATCTTCTGTTGTCCATTATGTATTTGATTTGATTTCAGTGTTTGCATCTGCTGGTGTCCCTTTGTAGAACCTGAGTGTTTTGCTTGAAGCAGGCTTTGCCAATAAACAAATAATCTCTTCAGAAATCCTCATAAGCCTTTCTCCTTCCTTATTTCATTACTCAATCCAAATGTTCCAGTGATTCCAGCTAGCTCAATTTTCCAACTTTTGCTATCCAATCACTGATTAATAGTACTCCATCTTTTCTTGATTGAGCACACATTACAATTTGTTACAAAATTCCTCAATGTCTTTCTCTACTGAATATATGCATGCATGCGTGTATGTATGTATAAAATTGATGTGCATTGGATATCCATTAATTCTAACTGATATGATCCTCTTGTATGTTGGGTTATAGCCAGGACATATATAGCAATGCTATTTTTAAACATAATTGCCAATCCATTTCTCCATTCCTCTATCTATTTCTATTATTAGGTAATCATATATCAGGTCTGTTTTCATTCATTTATATTCATTCATTTCTGAAAACAAGTAAGTTAGAATAATTTCAATTAGGGCAATTTCAAGTTGTATTTGATTCATATTTTTCACATTCCATTTTTTAATATCTAGGTGAAACTCTTCTTCCTTCTTTGAAACCAGATGTTTTTGTTACCTTTAGTTTTCTATGCCACACTCTCCATATCTGCTTATGAAAGTTTCACTTTCTTCCCTAAAAATATAGCAGTGTCTTCCAATTTTGATGTCTTTTTTTTGGTACTCATTTAAATATTTAATTTAAACATTTCAGCTATGTTTATATAGGCTTTTTGGCAACAATACATAAGTGGATTGTCATTGTATAATTCTGAAGTTATTGCTTCTGGGTGGATTAGATTCTTCTATATCTCCAGAATTTCATCTGCCCTCATGCTCTGGATTTCTTAGTTTCCCCCCACCTTTGAAATTAACAAGGGTGATCCTATCAGGAGCTTTGACTGGCATTGCTCTAGGGCAGAGTTCTTCAACTTTCACCACTTGAAGAGGGGTGAAAGCTGGCTGGAAAATTCTGGGAGTTGAAGTCCATCCCTCTTAAAGTGGCTAAGGTTGACAAACACCTTAGGGTTTGGAAGATTCGGAGTTCCTGAAGTAGTAATTCAACAGGAGAGAGTTTAATAATAGGGAAGTTATTGTCTGCAAGTAAAAATCTTGATTTATATTTTTTCCTGGTACAATTTACAACTTCCATAGATATTCCAGATGGATGCATATTATTTATGTCCAAATACTGACAAGCAATGGCAAAAACTAATTCAGAAAGTGTACAAACCTTTCTCTGGCATTGTTACTGTGGTCAAGTGCAGACTTTCTTTTACTAAGCACAAATATATATAGAAAAAAATCCAGGATTGACAGAAGCAGGATATCAGTACTCGTGTCTGTACAACAGTAGTACAGCTGGTGTCATAAATATCTACAGTCTATGGCAAGATCGCATAGCAGTGATAAAAGTTTGATACTCAGGAGCAAACTGTCGCAGTTTGATGTCATGGCTGGATCACAACCCTGTTGGCGTTTCCTCCTGGGAAAGAAAAAGAAAAAGCTTCCATCTGCTGCAAAAAAGCAAAGCAAAACATCTGTTGGTGACATTAAGTGCTTTTCTGGCTGTGTTCAGCTGAAACCAGCACAACTTCAAAATGGAACTGTTCAGTTTTTGTGAACAAGAAAACAAAATGGTATAACTTCATGGGAAAGTATATCTAACTAAAACCAATGTGTGAAATAAATGGGTTTGGAACAACTTTTTAGATCAACCATTTCTTTGATAAATCAGGGTTTGTTCAATCAATTTAGCTTTTATATATTATATTTTGGTAAAGGAAATAAAATCTCTGTTCAGGCAAGAATAAAATCTCTGTAGCAATCTCGGTCACACTCAAGCCCCTAAATCAGGGGTGGGGTTCTACCAGTTTGCACCTATTCGCTAGAACCGGTTGTTAACATTCTAAGCAGTTTGGAGAACCAGTTGTTGGAAGAAATTACTGGCCTAATCCTGTAAGGAAGGCAGGAAGGAAACATTCTGGTGTTGCTTACAGAAACTGTCTCTCCATTAACTCTTATTACATTCTTGGCAGGACTAGACTTCCTGTCTCAGGAACCTCTCTGGAGTTTATTTTCCCTCCTTTGCTGGTACTTTGCTTGTGTGGAGTGACCATTCAAAGTTACAATGGCACTGAAAAAAGTGACATAACCATTTTTCACACTTACAGCTATTGCAGCATCCCCACGGTCATGAGAGGCCAGGCGAGAAGATGCGTGCCTCAATGTGAGTGGTGTTGAGTTGGCCATGCCCAGCCAGTCACATGACCACCAAGCCATGCCCACCAACCAAGCCACACCCACATAACCAGTTGTTAAAAACAATTGAATCCCACTCCTGCCCTAAATGCTGTCTGCATGCTTGCTGGCTACTTCCTCTTGCCTCATTTCTGCTTATCAGAGGGCAGGAAGGGCAAGACAACTTTCCCAGCTACTGTAGGAGGGATGCTCTGGCATTTCCCCACTACTTCCTCCTGACTACTGCAATGCCTCCACCATTAATGTGTTTCCAAAAGTTGCTTTAACTAGTTTCTTCAAATTTTGATGGGTTTGGGATTCTAGTCCAGAAAGAATGTTTATACTTTAAACAAGATGGTATGTGAGAATCACAATTAAGCATTTGGCATAGGCACTTGAAACCTGAGACTAAGATTGGGAAGATGCATATAGAATTATGATAGGCCCTGAGAGAAGGGATAGTTAGATTATTCTATTGGCCCTGCAGACTTGGTTGAAATCCCCCCAGTAGTGCAAAGAAATTAACCTTTCATTTCCAAAAGGAACCTGACTGATTAAGATTGCAGTACTGGAAGAAAAGCTTAAATCCCCTTCCCTGCGCAATAAAATTCCTGTTCAAGTTGTCCCATCCTTATTTTTAAAAAATTCACATGGCTATGTCAAATAACATCATGTACAATCAGCCTTTGTCTATTGAATGTGCATAGGAATGCATATTCAAGAAGACTGTAGCGAAGGTCAGAAAATCCTTTGCAAGGATTCTCTATGGTATTTTTCAAGTGCAGATTTTTTTTTTGCATTCACTACTAAATCTGAATTTTTTTGGAATACATATTGAATATATTTTGAATCATTAGTTTATCAGGAAGCTTGAGAAGGCACAACTGATTATGTATAAGCTTTTAAGCACATTTAGTTGAACACACTATTTTTTTATTTTTTCCTCTGGATGACTAAAATCCATAGTGGAATACTATATTGGAGGAAAGGGTCTGAGACAGAGAATTGTTCTGAGATTCTGGGTAGGTGTCAATGGGGGAAAAAGGTTAAACCAATGTCATTATCATACTAGCTCTATATTTTCCATTTAATAGTGTTGCTGTGAATTAAAATATAACCCCAGAAGTGTAACAGTGGCATGTTGTTGTGGAATCTGGTTCAGAGTTTCCGGAGGGAGGCTGTCTTTCCCAAACAGCCAAGAGGCAAGTCAGTCCTTGGTACGCAGAAAGAGGCCTAGGAAAGATCCTCCTTAAATCTTCACAGGATATGAGTGATAATTAGGCAGAGTGTGCTTTAGTTTGGCAAGATTCCTGTCTATGGGTTAACAGTAATAAATTACTCTGAGCAATTATTCTTCATGTTGTTCTTGGTTTGTTGTGCCTAATACATTGTTATGTACCTAGTATCATAAAGGTGTATGATTACTTTATTGAATAGCATCTAAAGCTATTCATAAAAATGTTAGATTTTCTCCTAAATATGGTTTTAAGTGACAAAGTCATGCATGTCACAAGACAAAACTGATGGGAGCAAACTTTGAGTAGGATCTCTCACTCCTTATTTTTCTTTTTATGGACAATAAAAGGCAGCAATGGCTCTCCCTGATTTGGATTAGGATGGTGAGGGAAGATTGACTTAATTTCTCACTTTTGTTCTAATTTCAGGGGAATTTAGATCATCGGAAGCTGCTCTTTGTTTTATAGCAGAACGTTACATATGAGCAGTAATTATATGTTTTTCTGCCCATGGATAAAATTTCAGTTTATGAGATAATGATTTTACCTGAGACAATGGCATGGGGAAAAATTATCTCTCAATTTCTAATTGTTGCTTTTTTGCCTTCCTGCCTTCCATCTTCCATTTATTATTAAGATGTTGAAACTTAGCTGATATTGTCACAGCTCTTTCCTAATGAAGTCTATACTGGTTTAAAAACTCCTATTTGATAGCAGCTGTTATCACTAATAGTTGGTGATGCTACTGTCAATCAATTCATTGATTCATGCTATAGTACATTGAAATAATTAACAGGGGAACTAGACTTATAGCTGTAATTAATTAATCTTAACACAAAGATTGAAAAGATATCTATCACTTTTACAGGTAGAAATAAGTCATTGGAGACACTATCTAGAGTGGTTGCTGGAGTTGAACTATTAGGTGGTTTCTTCCTATTTTGCCAGTCATGCTCAGTGTAGAGTACATGCTTTTCGAGTGAAAGGTCAAAGGTACAATTTGCAGGCTTCTCTATAAAATTAAATAAAACAATACTTTGTCAGGCAGAAAATCACCAGAAAAGAAATATGGTGTAAAAAATTAGTATGTGCCATATTCTATTTCCAAATGATTTATTTAATGGTAATAATTATTTAAAGACTTCATTGTAATTATAACTCAGTTTTAAAGGTTATTGATCTCATTGATACATTTATTTTCCAGTAATATATTCTTTCTTTTCCCTCCTCATTTAGGTAGAAATCACAAATGATGTACAATCCTTGTTACTCATCATGCTGGCTGTCATGTTAGCAAAAATGGTTGGCGACTGGTTTAACATGTCTTTGTACAGTTCTTTACTGAAATTAAAAAGCATACCATATCTAGATGTTGAACCATTTGTCTACCAGAATAAAAATGGGTGAGTGGTTTCCCCCCCCCTTGCAAATCTTAAATGATGAAATCTGGTAAAGTGGTGGACCAAATCACTGTACAATAAGTGGTTCCCTTATTTGGTCATGTTTACAGGATTAGAGATCGGATGACATTTTGAGTGACTTCTGATCTGAAATTTGTCATAGAGCTGAAACGTATTTAATTTATAGTGTCAGGAATATTTGGGGATATATCTGTGCAATATTGTATATAATTACTGTTAATAGTGGGTGAATGGAAACATGGAAAAAGATGCAGAAAAATTAGTTATGCCATTTGGAGACTCAACAGTGAATGAGAACAGTAAGTATTTATATTCAGAGTTTTGTAAACACAGATGGCTGATGCTTCATTTAACATCTTTATAAACATAATAAGTAGATTTTACAAACCAGTTGTAGATTACTCCAACATGGAGCAAACTCAGACAGAAACAGGTTGCAAGTAACTTCACTAGCAAGCGTTATACACAGCAGAGGAGAGAAGCAGTTTTATTTTCAATAGACAAACTCAGAGCTCAACATAGCTTCAGAGCTGCAGAGCTTAACATAGTTGCCACGTCTAAGCTACTTCTAGTTTCAGTTTCCAGCCTAGGCTAATTCTCGTTTCAGTTTCCAAAACAGTCCTCATTGGCTGACTTAGCTGCTATGACTTTTCATTGGCTGACCTTGTTACCATGCTCTATTCCAGTTCATGAATATACTCTGACAATTTAACAAGCATCTGTGTGGGAAAACTCTATGTTTCAAATAAGTGTTTATTAAGACTTAAGAAGTCTTTCCGTACATACATATGGAAGTGGAAAAATGGCATTATTGATTTCATTATTTATAATTAAAATGGAAAGAATTGATGAAGGGTACAAGGTTTCGATGAAATATTCAACTGACCATTTGTTAGAGTTGAACTTGCCTCTTGAAAAATAAATAGACTACACAAAGATTTTAAAACAGTGGCCTTTCCTACATTCAATATTTCTTGTATTCACTGATTTGACTATTTCTTGTATCCAATCACTCACACTCAGCCTGACTACCCAAAGGAACATGGAAAGGCATGGATCAAGTCAATAAGTGACAGAATTCATATTACAGAGAACCCTATTTGTTTCATTGGGTATTACAGTTTCAAAATATAACTACATATGCCCATGTCTTGCTGAGGCTACCTAATACCTCCATGCCCATATAACTAAATGGGAGTCTCCAGCCCAACCAGAATCCACACAGGGCCTGCTGTTGGAAATATCTTTCACTGGGCCTCCCCTCAGCATACAATAGTACTCTTCACTCAAATATTAAGAATTATTCCTACAATATAATATTGCAAACCATCTCCCCTGACTTTTTCAAATCTAGTTGGCAGTAGCTCTCTCTCCCACTACCATTGGGGACAACCTGGCTGCTATTCCATCTCCCACTGGAGACATTTCTAGGTAAGCCTGTGGCGGAAGATTAAGGCCAAGATGATATATTGGAAGGAAAGGGGAGAATATGCCCTGATCTCACTCTTAGTGCCCAATTTCAAGTGACTGCAAACACATAGACCTTTTCTTATCTTCCATCAATGGCAATCTGGTCTACGAACCAGCAAGCTTATTCAGTAAGTCTATTGCCTGTCCCAATTTAAGACCATTGCCCTTGTCCCCTGTAACAAATTCTAATGGGTTGCAGCTGTCAGTTAGAAGGCTATAACTGAATGGCCAAGACTTTATTAGCTTTGAATAGTATCTTGTCCTTCTATTTCCATGTTTTTTGCAATCACATATCCACAAGGGGTGTAGTGTTATAATTAAAAGTAACTTAGAATGTAATGAATGATGGCACTGTAACTTTTTTTTGAGGAGGAATGGGAACATGTATGTTCTTCTATTTCTCTAATCTTTTGTGGAATAGATATACTGTTGTCTCTTTGTACTCTGAGATGAGAAAAAGGTAATGTATTCATCATGGTATGTTTTTAGCCAAGTTTGACGACTTCCCAGACTGAAAGTCTCAAATGTTGAGACTTTCTGTTAATAAACAATGAACAAGAAAGACTGTTTTTCTTGTTGCATAGTGTAGTTATTCACTTTTGTGTGCAAATATTTATTGCTGATCACATGGGCTTTTATGTTTTATGTTTTGGCTGATTGAGATGAATGTAAGTAAAAAGGGTGCCCTTTGACTCCTACTTATGTGTTGCATTTCTAGTTATAAACTAGCAGGCTGGAATGCTCAGAGTTGCTAGGTGCCAGGAAGTGCTCTTTCATAAGGGTAAGAGTTGTTGAACACATCAACAACTTGGCAGAGCTTCTTGCTTTGATAAACTCCTGTACACTTCATCATTTTACATCTAGCACTTTAATGCAATAAGGTCAGTTAAAGACTTGATTAAATCTGTTCTAGTTTAACATTACTTCTGTCAAAGCTTTCACTGGAGATTTCTGCCTGCTATACCACATAAAGCTGATAAAGCTGAAGCCAAGAATTCTGAGCATGTTGTAGGCATTGTACATTGTTTTAAATAAAAACAGGATGGCATTATATTGAATAGTTGATTTTTTATTGCATACTTGAGCTTTTCAAATTTCCTCTTCCACAATGCTAATATGGATTTTGAAAATTGGAATGTATATATATTTTTAATAGATGGAATTAGTATATAGAAAAATTATTTTGAAAAATTTTAGGTAGAAATCTGTCACCTAGAAGTTCAATGTAAATTATATCTGAAATCTAATTTTTCTAGAGTGACATGGGTAATTTTTTTCAGTGAGTTTGAGAAGTGTGTGTGGATCTGAGGTATGAGGCTGTACATTTTGGCAATCTCATGAGTTAAAAAATAATGACAGAAGACATGGCTGTTGGAATATCCATATTTTAGTTGTGATATAGTAAATCCTAGAAGTCGCTTATCAAATAATCATATTGCTCTCTTTTAATTTTTGGGGATTCTAATATGATGATGAATTGCCCTATGAATCTTATTGAAGAGAAAAGTACAACTCAAGCTACTGACATTTTTTAAAAATTCCAAATCTTAGTTGTTTCTTAAAGTTATTAATAGCTACATTCTCCAGAAACAAGAGAACATTTCACAATACATTTTAGAAGACAATTTAATATCAATAGCATAATGGCAATTTTCTTTACTTTAACATCATGGAATATATCAGGAACATATAACAGTATGAGTGCATATGTACATATAACTGAAATGAATGATAAAGGAAACTGCACAAAGAGGAGCATGCTATTTCATATTATACTTTAGGTTGCTCATGATACAACTTATAACTAATTAATTAATTCATTAATTTCCACAGGCCCTGACTATCTTTGGTTTGGGATCTGCCTATCTATACCATCCTTCACATATTACATTAAGCCCTATATCCTCTTTCCTTCTGCCTGTGGGATTTCATGTCTACTTTTTATCCAACCCAGTAATGTAGGATCAAGAACATTCTTCCTTAGTACTTGAACAATACACTAGCAAAAGCTCAGCAGATGCTGTAGCAAAACTGCGATTCTTTATGGGTACTTGCTTTGTATTAAAACACTCCCTCCTACTGACTTCTAAATTTCCTATTTCTGATAAGCTTCATGAAATAAAATCTCTTCCATGTCCACACACTTTGCAGAACAAAGCTCCAGAGAGCAACATATGGAGTTCATATATTTTGTTTCAGGCTTATGGAGTGCTTATGTATCCTCTGTTCCTTTTCAGGCTATTATAGATAATGTACAGAGAGCAACTGATTTCCTGCTGAGAAAGAAAAACAGAGATTGAATAGTTTCTATGTGCCAGAAAGAAGGTTCATTGATCTCAGAATGCAGTAGTTTGCAGGTGGCAGACACAGTGAATCTAGTTATTGGATGGGACACTCTACTAATTAGTTAAAGCTGTTCCAATATCTAGTCATCAGCTGGCAGACAAAAGAAATTACTGAGGTTTTTTTCTGCTTAAAAACAACCAGATTAACCCCTTGTGATGATGCAGACATTGATGCATCTGGCTTATTTTTTTAAACTGAGGTCTATTTATAAATGCAAAGATCTGTTGCATTTTAGGAATAATAACAATATGATTCCTTTTCTTTCTCTTTTATGTGTGATCTTTAATATTAACTGTCAGATTCCTATTCCATATCTACTGGCAGAATAGAAAAACTGGAGAGGTTGAGACAATACCATTTCTTGGAGACCTACCGGTAGATTGTGGAATGACTTCCCCAAGTGCTAAACTTGGTTTTCAAAATATACATAAAGTCTCTTCATTTAACCTCTGATCACTGCTGTCTAGCTGCTATATTTTAATTCCTTATGAATAATTGAGAGAGCTTTTATATTTGTTATGGTGCTTTAACATGTGTTTGATTAGATAATATCACATTTTTTCTGGTTTATGGTTGACTGTTGGAGCCTTTCTTAATTCATTGTTTACAATGTTACTAGACAGGTCTGTCTTGTCCATTTGTTCAGCCTTATTCTGGGTGAATTTATGGAAATTATACAACATTCTGGATGAATGGGATCCAGAGAAAAATTATTCTGTTAGAGAGCATGAATAGATGGGTGAGAACTGGATAAGAAAATATATTAAAGTTAATGAGCTGAAAAGAAGTTATTGGGCATCCAGGAATGAATGAAAATGGTAATTATTTGGTGACTATTTGCTAGAAAAAGTTCAGTTCTAAATGTGTTTTAACCATAAATTTCTTCAAATCATTGAAAAATGGAATTGCAAAAATTAAAATGTATTGTATTTTAATTTAGAGAAAGTGTATGACAAAGTAATAGACCTAAATTGTGGATTATTTTGTGCCAATATTGAGTTTAATGTTAGTTGGTTAATATAAGAGAAATATTTAATAGAAATGAAACATGTGAAAATATATAGAATAGAATATTAATGACTGGCTCAAGAGTGAGCACAGATTAATAAATCTGTATATCCCTTTAGTTATAAAATATATTTATGGAAGTTAAATGCTTATTGGTGAAGTTAAATGCTTATTGGTTTGGGATATGAATATATGTGTACCTTTTGTGATGATGCTCTGTAGCTGAATGAAATTATCTGCAGTAAATATTAGCTAGATTGCATGATGTAATGAAAAGTATGAATCTAAATATTATTAAATCCAACATTCAATGCTTTATAGATAAAAGTAAACATAGCAGTTTGTTGACATGGAGGCATATTAGCTGGGGATATTAATCTTTATTCAATCATGATGATGTCACACAGTTGGCAGAGAAATGCTACAAAAGTTAGAAATGAAAACTTTCAGCTCCCTACTGATAAAATTTCAGAAAATTGTGGAAATCAGGAAATCCTATTTTTACAGTTATAACTTTACTGAATATGTTATTAAGATAATATTGGTATAACAGCTGTTAATAGAATTCACAGTAGTAATGTGACTTTCTTATTATCAAAATTTAGCACAAAGAAAGATTAAAAAGGGGGAAGCAAAATGGTTTTACTGGATTTTTGCAAAATTCTTTGCTAGCTTACCTTGTAAAATTCAATAGAAATGCCACAGATAGATTCAAATAAGACATATGCATTAAAAAAATCCTCAAAATGATTTTGTTCTGGTTGGATTTGTGACTTGCATTCTCCTTAGAATACATCTAGAATGTTATGTCCCATCTGTTCTACTACTACAGTAGTTAAAAAACAACTAACCTTTAAAATCTTATGTAGAGGAGCAAGTGGCACAGGTATTAAATTAACTGAAATATATTTCAAATTTAAGTCCCCACCTGCTTATGTAACTGCACAATCAAACCACCTCTCTTTTTATATAACCTAAGAGAATTGTCACCTGATATTGCTAGAACCCCTCCCTCATTTTGAAAATAAAAAAAAATCAGATATAAAGGGGAACTGAGTCTTTTCTAGTTTTTTTAAATTTACTTATTAAATTGGGCACCAAAATAAAATATAAACATTCATCAGTGTAAAGAATCAAAATGTGAATATGAAACATAACCTTATAAGTAGGGGTATTAATTACTTTTTTCCAACCAAAACTAGATGCACTGAATAACTGCAAAGAAGTCATAAACAACCAATAAGATTTAGTCATGGATCCAGTTAATAATTACAGGCAAACCTACAGTTTTGTATATAATTCAGAATCCAAACATTGCTGAGCTAACCAAATGAAGCTGGCAATTACCATGAAAATAAAGCCATCTCCAAAATAAACTCATGAAATATATTTATATAAGGTTTAATAGTTACTCAGCATAATAAAAAAATGGTTTACAAGAAAGTAAACTAAAATCCAATGTTGTTCTGATGAAAATCTCTAGCTAAATAACAGATAAACATTCCCACCAAGTGAAGTGAATATCTTGAGTTAGAACACAAACTACAGTGAAACATATGAATGAATAAAACTGTCTGTTCCTTTGCACTGATCCTTATGGCCAAGTATTCTATTAAAAAAAAGTTATTCCAGAGGAATGTTCTTGTAGGTTTATAGCAGGATTACATATGTAATCCTGCAAGCATCTGGATATCCATGAGATGGCAGCAAAGTGATACAGAAAATTCTGATGTGTTACTGTGAATGCCAGGATCCTTGTATATAGTTATGATAATTCTAATTTAAGATCTTTCATTATAGGTCAAGTCTGAACAACATATTTTTCACTCTAAAATAAAGGATTGTCTTTGAAACAAAAAATATAGAATAAATAATACAGAATACCAGAGTTGGAAAGGACCTTGGAGGTCTTCTAGACCAATCCCCTGCTCAGGCAACAAACCCTATACCATTTCAGATAAATGGTTATCCAAACTTTTCTTAAAGTTTTGGAGCATCTACAACTTATGGAGGCAAGTTGTTCAACTTAATTGTTCTAACTGTCAGGAAATTGCTCCTTAGTTCTAGATTGCTTCTCTCCTTGATTAGTTTCCATCCATTGCTTCTTGTCCTGCCTTCAGGTGCTTTGGAGGATAGATTGACTCCTTCTTTGAGGCAAGCCCTTAGATATTGAAACACTGCTATCCTGTCATCCTTAGTCCTTCTTTTCATTAAACTAGACATACCCAATTCCATACCCAAATAACTTCAGTGTGACTTAATTGCCTTGCTTCATTATAATAATTGATTCCCTTCTAGAGCCAGTAGATTTTATCTCAAATTTTATATCTTCTTAGTGTAATTCTATGAAATTTGCAGGATGATAATATTTTATTACATTGTTAAAATACTATAAATAAAATCAATATGGCACAAATGTTCTCTTGTTATTCAATGTGCAAGCAGTTGTTCATGGTTTCTAAGATCACCAACCTCAGATTATGATATTAGTAGGATATTGAACTGGACAATTGGTCTCACTCATACTAATCGTTACTCTACTGTTATAAAATTAAGATTTATTTATCTTTTTGTCATACTTTTCTTCACTCCAAGAACATTTTGTTAACTGAATGTGATTTTCTAAGCATTTCATTTTCAGTTAGGATATTAAAACAAAAAGCTAAAAAGAAAAACCTCACATAAATTGATGAAAGGTGCTTGTCCTCTAGTAAAAAAATGGCTTGCATCTGGTTGAATTTATCATGGATTTTACTCATAGGTAAGAAGGCTATGCTTGATCACTAGTTTATTGGGCAATTACGCTTTAAACAAAATATTCATAGATAAACCTAATTTTAGCTTGACGTACTTCACTAGCACACTATGAAACCATCATATGCTAAAATGATATTGCATGCCTAGTTTCTTGTTTACTAAATAAATTATGCCTGTCTGCTTTGTATTTTTCAGGTTAAATCTGGAATTGTTTGCTGCCAAAGATGTCATGAAGCTTCATGTCAGAGTCCTCAATTTAAAGGAAAACATTGCTTTCTTGGCTCAGGTCCTTGCCAGCACCAGCCATAGTGGATTCCCAGTGGTTTACAAATCTAAACCAGACCAATCCAAGGTGTTTCTGGGAACAATTACAAGGTAAGACACTACATTCCTCCTTAGAGTAGCCACTCGGTCAGTGTTTAGAATTTAACACAATATATTACGAGTAGATGCCTTGCAATCTACAACTGTTTGCTCTTGAAACAACAGTGTATATATCTTTATCCAATATTGGACACCTAGAGTTCTTTGTGGGTTATTCTGAATTACTGTGCAATATGACATTAGAAACAGAAGAAAATCTTAGGGACTTGAAGGCATTCCAGAAAAAGATATAGAAACATTTCTGCAGTCAAACTTCTCATACAACTGAAATAAAACTGGAAGGAGGGGAAATCGATAGCCATCTTCCTTTTGTTTTTATCTTAAGTTCATGTTTTTAAAGATAAAACAAATCAATATTCCAACAGCAAAGGAAAGACCTAATACTAAGAATTTGCTGTAGGGAAGGATCACAAAAAAGTTTGTGCTGTAGTTGATTTTCATTGTTCACTACTGGTGGTGACATTTTTTAAAAAAAAGACACATGCCTGATGATGTTATTACACAAATTCCACCATTATAGTTGTGCCTGATGATCCAACTTATCAGTCAAGTACATAATTTGTGGGACATCTATCTCTGCAGAGAATCAACCAGCCAAATTAGCATGTCTCTCCTTGCCAGATTGCTATTTGTTGGCCTGCAAAATATTTAAATTGTCTTATCATCTTATTTTCATGCCCAAAATATCCACTTTTCCTCTGGGAAAAAAAAGTTAACTTTATATAACCTTGCATATTACAGCTCGTCTTCTCTATTGGAAGACTTGACTAGCTCTAGTCCAGTTCACTTAACTTATTGATCTGAATGAGACAAATTCAGCAAACCTAATTTGGACCCAATCCCATGTCTGGAGAAGCCATCTGACATTCTTAAAATGCTTTGACTTTTGTCTTACTGTTGCATCCATTAAATATTATTAAGAAGTGTCTGAAAAATCACAGAACTACACTTCTATTAGTTTGTAAACTATGGAGTCTGCACCAGGTTGAATTTGTTACATTAAATAAGCTTAACCCTCTCATTTAATTCCCAGATGTCTGCTGCAATAAAACAAGAACTGATACGAATAAATAATTGAGCCAAAATAATTGTCTCATTCTTTCCCTATTAAATTGTCCATAGCATTCTGAATTCTATAATGGTAGTGGTAGACTTCAGTTATTTGGATGTTATATTTACACACCCTGTATAACACATTTTAAAACAAGGAATAAAAAGCTAAAAGTACTGTAAATCTCACATGTGAAATAGTAAAGGATTAAAAAATAGAGACTCCCAAAATATCTAAATTGGTACAATTATTCATTTTCTGTGGAATCTGTAATTTTCCCAGAGAGAGTAGCAGGCTTTTTCATATAGTACCATTACAATTTTCAGATTTTTTTTTTAAAAAATAAAACCATCATTCTTGGGCTGATTCTGTTCATAGACCATGTGCGAACAGCATTCTCTGTATTCTCCAGCTTGTCTAATATCTCCTCTTACTGATCAATGATTTTCCAGTGCTCTTAAATCAGACTACTCTTTTTAAAATGCTTTTTATCTAGCCTCCTTGCATGGCCCTCTCTTTAAAATTTTAAAATTCATTTCAAAAGAATAAAGGCATACTTATTTTGCCTAAGGCAGGGGTGTCAAATTGGTGGCCCGCAGGCCAGATGTGTCATGTGCAGGCCACGCCCACCCCAGCTCTGTGAAGGGAAAAAAACATCACAATATGTCATGTGATGGCAACAGGACAAGGTGAGTTTGACACCTATGGCCCATGGGCCTTAAATGAAAAAGGGTGTAAGAGTTCCTTAATTTGAATGGTTGAATGGGGAGGAAAAGAGATTCTTTAACTCCTCTCCAAAGTCAAAAGAGAAAAGATAGTAGGATCCCATATTTTCATCCATTTGTAAAAGTGGCTTAGAACAATGTTGAGAAGACACACTACAGAAATGGAAGGAATCATTTCCCTCTCCTTGCTTCAAATAATCAAGCCTTTCATATAAAGAAAATAAAATCTTGCTAGTGAGTTAGCAAATATTAAATATCAAAGAGTCTGCAATGGATTGTCAGAAGGGAAAGAGAAGAACAGAGGATGAAGAATGTGGATGTGAGTTTTATGAAGGCTTGTGCTATGAATCTTAAGGAACATGTATTTGTGTACAGTCTCAACATAGTAAGTATTGCAGTCTTGGTTTCAGATGTTGGCTTTTTCAAGTTATGGAACAGGGATGGTTAATCTATGATCTAGATGTTATTTATGGGCTGTCAATAATCCACCTATACTTTTCCAACAACCTGATCTCATGCCACTAAGAAACAAGCAGCCACATTTTGGTGGCATAGCTTTGGTCACAGAAGGGTGTAATGGCGGCGGTGGGGGGGAGGTATTAAAAAAATCTGCTGCACTTGCCTGGTGATATCATTGGATGTCACAATGTGATTTGTCACCTGGACATCTCAATTACAACCTATGAATCCACTATAGAAGAAGAACAGGCAACATTTTGGTGGCTGGGGGACACACATTTACCATTTTCAATGACAGATAGCAAATGTGTTGCTACATTGAATGGATGCACATAGTTTGGTTTGGGAAAAGTTCTGGGATTATCATGGTTCATTAATTGTGATCTGATCATTTTAGGGTTTATAATATTCTTCTGTTCCATAAATGTAATTTATTAAATTAATATACTGTATATTCCCAAAATGAAAATGGCAAAAAATGGAGTTACAGTATCAGATTTCAGCAAACATGATGGTGATGGTAATGTTCTCAGGCTATAAATAGAGGAAGTGGAAATTGCAAATTGTATTTTAATATTGTAAAGCTACAATTTTTACATTTTTCTATGGAATGTCTCTCTTGGGTATTGCAACCTTCCTGGGGACATTTGGATGGATTTTTGTTACTCGTCTGTTTAATATCAATTTATGAAATGAATGATGGCTGCTTATGAACAAAAGTTGCCATATTTTAAATGTGCAGCTGAATAGTGAAATAATGTATAACGCACCAGTGCTGTTGGTAGTTTTGCCAAGATACAAACTAGTTTATTTGTTAAAAATGACTTAAACTTCACACATTGAAAATAATTTAATTGAAAATGCCTGCAATTCATTTATGGGACATTAAAGATGACATACTGTAGAAAGTACTCGTTCTCCCAAATACAGCTTCAGAAAAATACAATGAGTTTCCAAATTTCCAATCATTTTCAGTATTGAAAGTGATAGACAATATTCTTGTGTGTAACTGTTGCAGACAAAAAAGATGTTTCTTGTTTATCTTTAGTTTCATCAGTTGGAGACCACCATGTTTATCTATTTACTGGTTTATTTGAGACTCAAACGAAAGGAACAATGAAAGTCTGACTGAAGTTACATTGTTTATTCAGTGGATGTTCTAAGAATTATAAGGCAGATGAGGAAGTGGCATAAAACACACTGTAAGCATGCATGTTAAAGAAAATAGAAGCAAATGGATTTCAGCAAAAATAGAAATTCAACAGAAGGTTGCAAGTAAAATCAATGTGTGTGTTTTCAACTGCCAATATTGTACAATTAAAAAGGGTAATATGACAATTATGAATCAGTAACCACAAGTAACGACACAGGCAATTTGGTTTCTTTTTCTGTGCAAGTTAGAGACACATTAAAAATTACCTGATTATAGCCATAGTCCTGAATTAATTCCTCAATACACAAATCAGTTTAAAAAATTATTGGTATTAGTAATGGCTGAACAGCTGTATTTGGTAACAATAATGACACTATTGCTGAGAGAAACATTTTTACAATGATCCATGGGAATACTAAAACCAAACTACATTGTTTAGCTAAAACATGCTTTCCCTCCAGTAAAGTGCATGTTGCATAGTTGAAAGTAAATTGAAGACATTATAGTTTAGAAAATATGACAAAGTTGAAAACTTAAAGCTGCATTATCCTTCGAGACAGAAATAACTTATTTATGTCTATATATTTACTGGCTGATTTTTAGTGATTTCTTTTCATTGACAAAGAGAATAAAACATTTACCGAGCCAAAATGATATGGGGCCAATTTGTTTCAGAAGCATAAAGGTATGCCTTGAATATGTGCTATTTGAGAACAAAATGAGAGTTGATATGTAGGTCACAGTTCTTGTTACAACATCTAGTGTTGGATTATCCATAATTTTTTTTCTTCCTTCAAAAACACTTATTGATCTTTACAAAGCAATACTTTGGAATATATGCTGTCCTCTGTAGCACAATACCATAGTGAAGTTTTGGCATTGCTTATATATTTTCACATAATAAAACTCAATCTGTAATATTTTCCAACTGCCCCGCTTTAGAAAGCAATGGGTCAATAGTTTTGATAAGATTGTAAGTGTACCATCACTGACTCCTTTACGTAGAAAACTGTTCCATCAAGAAATGTCATGTTTTTGCCATGCATGGAATTAAATCAGATTAATAGAAATGAATGCCATGCAAAGGTAGAAAAATATTTTTTAAAAATAGGAACAGTTTGAGGCATTGCACTATTTACAGGTTTATGTAGTATTCTAAATAGAAATAATCTGAGAAAGGCAAAGACACACACAAAGACATGCACAAATTTTATTTTATGTAGGGTTTTTTAAGCTACTCATTGAGATAAATGCTTGGGTAAGGATTTTATATAAGATCTTAAGGGTGATTTTTAAAATTATTTTAAGCATCAAGAATTCACCATGAGCAGCAATGAAGATGCACATTCTTCAGAACAAGAAAAAATAATTAAATTTCTGAAAGATCAGTTAAAAACAGATGTAGCTGAATTGCAATCTGTAAGTGTTTTTGAGGCAGGAGCAGTTTGCTGTTAGGTATGTGGGAAAAAAAAAGCATGCATAGAAATATTTCTCCTATATTTCTCTTATAGTTTAAAATAAGTACGTGGTAGAATTGTCCAAAATTAAAAGCCAATTGGACCATTTAAAAAAGTTTTTAAAAAATGTTGACATGCATTTCCTC